TCAAAATCACAAGTTTTCATTTAGAGCAGCAGCTGACAGGTCAGTGACACTCGCGCCTGGCTAAGCAGAAGCTCAGCTAATTCATGCAACTTTATTTGTGCTTAAAATAACTTGTAGCCCTCAGCTAACCCACACCATTAGTTCCACATCAGCGACAGCCACAGTCCATTCCACGGCAAAGCCGCTGTCACACCGAGAGATCGGAGAAGGGATCTCCTCCAAATCAAACAGTTTACAGCCGTCACAGTTTCAGTGGGATAACAGGCCAGTACTTGGGCTGTTTGAGGTCGCAGTTTCTGTCGAAATTGAGCTGCATCGCTGCCTCCATGGCCAGCATCTTGGCGGCGTCCTTGCCATAGAGCTTCTTCATCTCCGCCCCGCGTCTCTCGCCGGGTCGGTCCGAGGGAGGAGCCGCGCTGCTTCGCCAGGAGACGCCGCGGAGGTCCTGGTCGGCCGGCACGTAGCTGTCGTGCTGCTCGGCCTCCATCTGCTGCTGCTTCTCTGCAAGGACAAGAAAACGGATTATTTTCAGGCACAAAGCATGTCAGCATCCCCAAGCAGAGCTCATTTCCTGATACAATGATGGAGACGGAGGACGTTTGGAGACTCCAATCTTGAACTATTCCTCAACCCCTTGTTCTCTTACTCAGCTCCTCTTTGTGTTTCTCTGTCTGGGCGAAGTACTGCCGAAGCTCCTCGCTGATCTCCATGTTGCTGATGTCGCACTCGATCTCACTGTCCGAGCTGCTCTCCTCGTCCCCGTCCTCTCCGTCCTCTCCGTCGTCGTCGTCCTCCCCTGCGTTCCAGTCCGCGTAGCGCTGCCGCTGGCTGCCGGGACTCCGCCCCTGGCTGTACGTGGGGCCGTAGGCAGCCTCCAAGGCCTTCCGGTAGGCTCGCCTGTGTCTCTGGTGCCAGGCCATGGCCTGCTGGTAGTGCTGCCAGTAGCGGCTGTACATGGGGCTGGAGAACCAGGACATCACGGTGCTTATGTCCTCCTGCAGAAGATCAGTACAGCTTTTAGGCTTATTTTCATATTATTCACAGTGGTTTCATGAGCAATCTGCCAGTTAATTAAAAAAGGTAAACTGGGCCCCTTTGCACTGAATTTGTAGTTAAAAAAAGACCAAAAACATGTAATGTGTTCTCACTTAACTGCACATACAAGAGAGGAAATGTGTCACTTCCTGTGGACATAACACCCGAGTTTCCTGTGGGAATACAACTCCTCCACTTTGCCGAACACCTTTAATGGGCGAAAAACGGTAAGATTGTACCTTCTCGGCTGCCTTACCATGTTCGAAGACGTCTTGCAGTTGTGGGAATCTTCCGGGTTAACGTTGCTAACGTTATTCCACCCGCAAACCTTCCAATCCTGAAAGATAAAGAATAACTATTAACAACACACAGCTGACGAACAGTCAAATGTAACGATATCTTCTATTTCCAGGCTGAACGCCTCTATTTAGCGAACATTTACCTGCTAGATGTCGACTTGTTTATCGGCTCACGTTGCTTCCTGTTTCAAAAATTTCCCAGCAGCCTTTGAGCCACAGCAAAATAAAGAATCCGGCTAAGTGGCTCCGCCTAGTGGACACTTTGTGCACATGCAGGATATTCACTATACTGGACTGGAATAAATAGGAGATGCAGTTCCTTGTCTTTCAGTTATTGTCCTTTTTTTTTAATGTAAGTTTATTTTAATTGAGAAGTTTTAGTAGGCAATCTCTTTATCCCAATCTCTAAATGTGTCTGAATGTAGTTCGTTTTTTTAGCTTCACTTGTACAATATTGTTTGAAGAGTAAAGTTGAAGATTTAAAAAGGCTCTTTTCATTTTCTATTTTTTGCACCTTGCCTGAAAGGGGGGGTGTAACACAGAGTGTCTGAGTGCTGTGAGACATGTTTGACTGTATATCTAGTGTCATGCTTCGGCTTGAGGCTTCAAAGCTTTCAGAGGAAATGCAAAAAGACAGATGTGGCTTTTCAAAACACATTTCCTCTTATGATGTTTGAATGGATGAGATCCCACACCACAATAAGTATTTTCTCTTTTCCAGAACATGGATTATCTGAAGTATATCATGTATTACTTCCTTGAACACCACCTTAGATTGATGTGTTCAGTGCTTTGTGGTGAATGCATGCTGTGTTTATCAATGTATTTCATTATTGTCAAGGTAAACTATGACCTTACTATATGAAGATGGTTCTACTTTCTTCTTTAATTTACAGCTAAACTAAAGATACATAAAATACTTTGGATCATCAAAGATCAAAGACTTTTCCTTCAGGAGATGCAGCTCAAAGTACTTTACAATTACAAATGCAACCCATTAAAACAGGGGCAAATACACAAATAACACTTCTTGAGACACTGGAGGTAGTGAGCGCGGTGCCACGTGATTTAGTTATTCAACACAATGCTGTATGCGGATACGAGAGGAAATCTAATCTGATTATTCCAGTTATCAGACGTTCAACCTGTTCATACTCCCAGTTCAGGTTCCTGTTGTCCTGGTTATGGTCTTGACAGCTTTGCGGGGGCTTCGCTGTCTTCATCCACTATTCATCCGGCTATTCTAAAGGGAGCACGTTGACCCACTGAGCTTTGCCTCTGAGTTGTGTTTAAAAGTTTTGTGTGAGGTGTTCTCATGTTTTTAAATGTGGCCTGCAACATAAGTTGAACTCCTGGATGTTTTATGTGCGTTTCTCTGGGTGTGTACGGATGCATTGATACTGCAGAGGCATCCCTCTTGGGAACAATAAAGTTGTACATCCTCAAACAAGTTCTTGAGTGCTTAGATTTGACATTATTTGAAAGGTCACATGCAGACACGAAACAAATGCTCATGGCCAGAATTGAACCCTGTATTTATAGCTTATGGCGCTGTGTGTGTCTTAACCGTGAGGCCACCACACCGTCTCTGAGCTGATGCTAAGGCGAGAGTGTTGTAGCGACTTTGCCGCAGTAGAAGAAGCCTTTTGTAAATTGCAGATCATTTACAGCAGTCCTGTGACCATCTATTGAAATAACAGATAAACAGTCTTTAGATCTTGTACTTCAGTAAAAGTACTAAAACCACAAAGTAAAAATGTGGTCCTACGTTTAAAGGTTAAAAGTGTGACTGTTATATTATTATATATTCTATCATTAGATTCTTATTTCTAACGCTTTAATTTAAAAACAGGAATCTGCTTTATTATGTGTCGGATTGCAACTGAGGTTATTTTCTCTCCATTAATCAATTAACTGGTTGGTTTGCAAAATAATCATAAAATTGTGACACTTTCACAATTATTTAAACATAATTTAAAACAATGGGGAAAAAAACAATCATTGAAATATTTGCTAAAACCTTTTATAAACCAAAATTAGGATTAAGATTATAATAATTAATACACAATAAGTATCAGGATTCAACCTTCTTCAGTCTGAATTTGGATGATCAGGAAACAGACGGTGGAGAAAATAATAAAATATGAAAACATTTGAACCGTGACGATATTATCCCACAATAAAATGTCTTATTTTATTAATGTGAACAAAACAACAATAATACTTGAAGCTTGTTGATGAGGAGAAGTATAGTTTGTTGATGGATTCTTTTTGGGTAAAGACACAGAGGAATGATGAGATACCTGAAATGTAAATGCATAATATCGTGTCTTATTCCTCTTGTCGGGTCAATTAAAATTGTTAGGAATTAGGATTTATTGGAATTTCAGAAGTAAAGATTATTCTGTAAAATGCACACAAGCTAAATATTTATGCTTGTATAAAATTCCTTTACTCAGGGAAATAAGATATTTAAAGTCGTTGAAGCTCTGCTCGGATCTGTATGCTCTGAATTCTGTGGAAATCACCAAGATAAAAACAAACTAAAAAAACTGAGCATCATTTCCTTCTCTATGATGCTACGTTTCAGACGTGGCCACGTCTTGCACTTCCTTTCTAGGACCCTACACCGTCTTCTTTTAGTTTGGGCTCATTGTTTGCAGTATAGTTTACAGACTGCCACCCTGTTCAGAGCTCTCGACCATCATGGACGAGCTCACACAGATGTGTTGTGTTCTTCTTCTGCCGCTGTGCTTGTGTTTTAACTCTGAAGGTACTGAACTTCTTTACATGACGTTCATGCAAGAAGTCAGTCAGTTTTGCAGTTTGTCTGTAATAAGTTTCCCAATTTTTGATTGTTTGCAGTGACTGAAAGGAAAACCATTGGGAGAGAACCAGACGTCACTCCAATATGCACCAATGCAACAGAGGATATCATCACTCTCATAGTGTGTGAGATCAGAACAGAGAGGAGCGGAGGAGAGTGTCGTCTGCTGTATCGATACGGAGAAGACTTTGTGCACGAATGTGACTCCAGGTTCACACTTATGATGGAGAATCAGACTGTGTTTCTCCACCTGACCAGTTTAACACCAGTGGACAGTGGGAACTACACCTGTGAGTGTTCACGCAATGGTGGGATAGATACTCTCCGTCTGAATATCATTGTGGAAGGTAAATGTTTCATTCATTTTCCTGCTTTTGTGCTTCAAACGTTAGGCATTTCTCTAAGTTTAAGATGGTAATTTCCCACTGCATTGTCAACATTATCGAGAAATATCTTACGATAAAATGATGCATGTACTTATGTATGAAATTAGACCCATTTATAGGTTCTGTTTAAAGAACAAAACATTGTTTTAGCGTGATGTCTGTGGAAGTGAAATGCAGATTCCACAGTGTAGTGCAGATATAAAATATGTGATTATAGAAATTTGGTTTTGCAGAGGATATAAGTTACAAAATATTAGAATCATAATGTTTCTTTACAAACTGAGTAAATACCAGCGCATTTATCTGATTTCTGTCTTTACAATTTTTTAGAGGAAGCCGCCAGCAGGTTTACTTCCACTCTAATTCAATGTGCTTTGATTGGAGTAACTACTTTAGTCATCACTATAACTGGACTTATGTTCGGGTTGATCTGCAAAAGAAAACGGTGAGAGACTAATATAAATGTGTGTGTGTGTGTATGTGTATTTGGTGATGCACTAACTGATAACTCTTCTAATTTAAAGTGACCGTTCAAGGTCAGCCACATCTGGATTATCTGTATGTGAAACTCCCAACTCTTTTGTAAGTAATGTAGCCTATATGTACCATGTACCTTTAAGCTCTCACATATAACCTTAAACCACTTATTGAAAAGCTGTAGTTTCTGTAAGTCAGGTAAGAATATGTTTCCTTATAGGATGAAGATGACCCAGACGACCCCTATACAAGCCTCCAGCAACCAGCCAGTGATCTCTACCAAACTATCTCAAGAAGTAACATCGAAAATATCTGCTTTAACAACCAGGAAATAGATGGAGGAGAGTCTGATCAAAGTTACGAGGACCTTTATGAAAATGTTTAAACTAAAGAGTCAAGATTACACTGTAAGTTAGGACTGTGACTTGTGTTTGCACTTGTGTACTGATTTCTTCAAATAAAATGTGATGTAAAAATAAAAAAAAGATGATCTGGGAAAACTCTTTTTGAGCTTTATATTTCACTAGTATTAGGAAGTGCAAAAAAGTGTTTCACTACATCAAATATTCAAGATGCATTGTCTGAAAACAAGTTTCTATATCTCACTGAAATGTTACTTGTAACTGTGTCCAATATTAAGTGTTATGAGATATTTTAACCAGTAATTAGACAAATATATTTAGTAAGATCTGACATTTTTGCCTCGGTATTTCCATGTCACAATAACATTTAGCCTTTTAAGTACTTTGTTCATAAATGCCCTGTATCAGTCAAATGAAATAAAGTGTGGAACATATCATTTCTCTTATCAGAGTATTTTAATTATCTTTGAACACACACACAATATGTCAAGATAATGTACTTAAAAGGATACAAAGAGAAGAATTTGGGGTCTTTTGGCCATGATTATTATTACTATTGTTGTCATCATTGTTATTAATAATGTTAATTGCAACTGCATCATGCTAATGGAGGAGTGAGCGTGTCATTCTTACCGTCACATGAACTAGTTCTGTATGAAGACGACACACTGGTTTCTTTGTGAAACAGGCCAGAGACTTAAATAGCATGAACTTTAAGAGACCCTATTCTCAGCCCAAGCTCAGGTTTCTAAAACTGTTCTGACCACAATGACGCACACAATACTTCATTCTGATTGGATTAAGCACAACTGATGCTTTATGATTAGACATCTCATCGCAGACACGTTGGAGGCAGACACAAGCAGTTTGTGATGATGAGCGTCTCAGAGTGTGTCGGTGTGAAAGTAGAAGCTCCTATAGCACCACTTCCTTTTTCGTACCTTTGTGAGAGTTTGAGGTTTAGATGCCCACCTCCCTTCAGTACAAGATAACGATCACTTGCAACTTTAGTTGCTGCTTTACCAGTATGTCGGAATGGAAACTGTGCCTTGTTCTGCTTCTGCCGCTAACACTGTGTTTTGACCTCGAAGGTAATCACACATTTTAGTTGTTTTTCTCTGTTTTTCTAATATTCACAAAATGCGAAAGATATTGCAATCTCTAACTGACTATTGTTTGCAGAGACTGAAAGGAAAACCAATGGGAAAGAACCCGACATCACTCGAATATGCACCAATGCAACAGAGGATATCATCACTCTTATAGTGTGTAAGATCAGAACAGAGAGGACTGGAGGAGAGTGTCGTCTGCTGTATCGATACGGAGAAGACTTTGTGCATAAATGTGACTCCAGGTTCACACTTATGATGGAGAATCAGACTGTGTTTCTCCACCTGACCAGTTTAACACCAGTGGACAGTGGGAACTACACCTGTGAGTGTTCACGCAATGGTGGGACAGATACTCTCCGTCTGAATATCATTGTGGAAGGTAAACACATTTTATGCATTTTGCTTTAAGGTTAAACAGAGCAAATACCTGTCGTGTTTCTGACAAAGACATTTGTCTTTACACTGTTTCAGAGCAGGAAGACACCGGCATGACATCACACAGGCAGATTCTAAATGTGTTGATCGGTGCAACGATAGCCATCACAATAACTGCAGTCATATGGTTGATCTACAGAGGAATACGTCATAGGTGAGAGTAACACTGTAATATTACTATTGTTGGGAATAACTTAACAGCATTGGATGTCTATAACAGTATAAATATCCATCGTGGTGAACACATATTAGTTGATATACCATTTGTTAAGTTCAAGTATATGTTTAAAATCTCAAAAATATGCAGATCTTGACTGTTATTTCCATTTGTTTCTGCTCTATAAGAATAGAGTGAATTAACATTAAGAGTGTTACTAATGCGTTGTTGTCTGGCCCAGCAGAAGACAACCAGAACCACTGAGCAGTCTTCCAAACACGGTACTGCATTTACATGGATGTGGTTCATCTGGCTTTAGTTATTTACAGTATTTACTAAATACGCGTGTCTTTCTGCAGGAGCCAGAAGACATCGAGCCGTACAGCACCTACATACAGAGAGAGAGCGGCCTTTATTCAACTGTCATACTACGATAACTGTAACAACAACAATAATCACTCACGCATGTCCACCACAGAGGACACACAGTCAGAGACGCTTCTGTGGAGCTCCGTCTATGTTCGCTTCTATTCCAAGTGAAATGAGGCCTGTTGTCCACGAGATGGCACTCTTTAACTCTGTGACGAATGTACCCTGTATGTAAGTTTACTGTAATAATTAAAGAAACAATCTAAAAAATAAACAGTTAAAACTTAGTTGTTGGTCCCGTCTCTAAATCTAAATGTCTAAATGTGTACAAACCAATTAAAGGAAAAGATATTCCTCTTCTAAATTATAGGAGATTGTGTTGTTACAATGAATGAGCTACAATGTTCTTTCATTTTCAGTCTGCAAACACTTTTCATCCCCTGTTGTTATTGTTGTTCTCTCTGGTGCTTCCCTGCTAGCATTCCTCTTTATTCACAGAGGAAGTACAGACTGGGTCACAAGCGTTTGGTTTGAGTTTGACACGCCAGATTTGAGGGAAATTAGTCGGCTGCCCTGATTTAAACAGCAAATTCAGCATCCGCCTTTTTCAATGACATTCAATCAAGAACGTTGGCCTGGACGAGGTCCTATGAGGCAAACCAAGCTGTCAGACACATTGAGTGTAAAACACCAAAGAAGACAGAGCTATAATGCATTCTACTGAATTAAGTCCATTTAGCATTTTCTCAGACACATAGCTCGATTTCTACATCAAGTAGGCTACTCAATCAGCAAAACAACAAAAGATTTTGATGCACAAGTTTGAGGTACACATTTTATACTTTATATTTCTTTAGCCTCCTACATTTCAGACAAGATGAGGGTGATTGTTTGGTTTGGTGCTTCTTGGGTTGCCGGCGCGTTAAACTACAAAACAAAACCAAGAAAACTGAAGTTATCTTGCGACTGACTTTGCAGGCTGTGACTATCAACTGCTGCACTAAGATAACTTTGAAGAAGTGGAACATGTGACTAAAATAATAATAATACTCCCTCGTAGACACTTCCTCGTCTAATATAGATCATAGGGCTTTAAATTGACTGTTGGTTGGTAAACCGCCAGCTGCTTATTATGCTTCCGCGTGGCATCCTGGTTTAATATTACAGGTGTCAGCACAGCTGTCTGGTAGCGCAGGTACTTTCCAGGTGTAATTCATATTTTGGAATAGATTGTTTTAAATTTCCAAAATACAATCGGCTGCTCTAGGACTCAATATCAAGAGCTGCATCCCTATTGCACAATGTAGTTACACACCTTTATACAAAATGTACAATCAAACCTGCAACGTTGCCACTTTGCAGTTGTCTAATCTTAAGGTTTTAAGCATTAATAAATGTTATAGTGAAATTGAAAATGGTTGATGATTGAGGAGGGAGCATGTAACATTATTTATCTCCAGGCTGTGGTTAACATGCAACTCTCCCACACAGAGCAGTTAGGTTCTTTCCAACAGGGATATCAAAAGACTTAAGAGGAATTATATACAGTGACTTCCCCTCAGCGCTATTTTGTAAACAAGATTTCACAAGAGATTTAATTATGAGATCGTATATCGCACAATAAACCTGCAGCAGCATGATATATGGGACGTGCATCAACATCCTGGCTGCACCCTCTTCCTTTCTGTTGCGCTTTGCTTTGAAGAGGTGAGTCATGCTTTTATAACTAGAAATATACAATCCAGGATTATAGCAACAATCTACCATTGACCGATTTCCTGAAGAACAGTTTCACGATTAGAAAACATTCCTTGTGTGTGCTTCGGCATCGGAATGCATTGTGAGGGGTTCCTGAACATGACATCATTCAGTTATAGGGGACACTCCCTGCTCATCTTCTGCTTCATACTTGTATTTTGAGTTTGTACTAGAACAGGTTTGCATGCTTTAATGTTCAAAAGACACATTATTTTTCTCTTGGTGTCAGTCTGAAAACAGCCGGGGACTAACTGTGTCCATACAACGCTTAGCGGCACTAATACCAGCTACTGCATACAGTAGTAACCTTGGGACCTTATTTTGTAAGATTTTAAAAGATTGTGTAATTTAAAAAAATAGACGTGAATCATGGTTTACAAAGAACTCAATCTCTGTTCAACGTGATTGTCTTACTGCCAAGTGGCCACCATGATGAAGCATCCTGACAGGAACATTAGAGTTGATTGTTTCCTGTCTGGTAGTAATCCCACTAAAATACAATGAAAGCATGACGGGACACGTTCAAGACGTGACTGGGATATGAATTTGCAGTATTATTTTCTCTGTTTTATAAATTTGTTTCTTTGCCCTCTTGTCACACAGAAGTACAGTCCTGCCCCCTCGTCGAGGTGGACTTTTTCAAATGAGTTCAAGTTTGCTGGAGCAACAAATGTCAAGCATCACGTGTTTGTCATCCCACTTACAGTTATGGGAATTCGATTGTGATCACATACTTTGCAGGGAAATGTTAAACCTCGAAACACCATGAGCCCACAAGGGACTTCTGCTTCTGCTCTGGGATTTTTTTCTGATCACTTACAGGACTACAGTACTAAATACAGTAAGTATACCATTTACTGGACTTCACTGTAATATTCAGCAGAGTGAGTTTCAAATGACACACTCATTTAATGCGACGTCACCCTTTATTTACACTGTTATCTCGCGTAGTCTAATTGATTTCTTCAATCAAATATGGTATGAATATCCATAAGGATATGTTTTACCTTGATAGCAGCTTCGGGAATGCAGTCCGTTTTTCAGATCATGTATATTCAACCACAGCCTCTTATAATGAGACTTTTCTCTGTTGAAGACACATTTGCTTTAAAGCATTCATTATTCAAAGTCTCAGGTTATATGTTCATTGAGGTATAAATATCAAAGGCGTATGAGAAATTCCCTCCCATCGTCTCTTTCTTTCAGTTTTACTTTGAGCCGCCTTTTAAAGGAAGCACAGAGGCTGGAGTGAAAGAGCGCTGGAGGCTACCACTAGAAGAAGATGCTGTTGATCCTGATACTTACTGCTTTGCTGCGTAGAGGTAAGTGACCTTCTATATTCTCTGTACTACTGTTTTTTATATTCAAGAATACAATCCAGCTTTTTTTTTACATGTACTGTATGTATATGTTTTCAAGTCTGCATTTACTGACACCCAGCTGTTGTTATTATCAGCCTCCACATCGCAGATCACTGGCTATGGAAATAAAACAGCTGACTATGGCGGGGACGCCCACTACTCATGCTCATTAGCCGACTCCACAGGTGAGAATGTTCTTCTTCTTGCCAGTGAAAACGTGCCCGGTGGTGGGAGTATTCAGATCCTTAGCGCAGGTAAAATACCACTGTGAAAATACTCTGTTACAAGTCCTGCATTGAAAATGTTACTTAACTGAAAGTATGCGAGTACAATCAAGAAAATGTACTTTAAGTATTAAAATAAAAGCATTGGTGGAGGTGGAACTCATTTTTAACAATATTTTACAGGACATCAGCTAAAGCGTATTGAAACAAATTGTGAAATAAAAAGTGTTTTTTTAGCCGAACTGGGTATTACATCAACAAGCACAAAAGAGTAAATGTTTTAATTGGAGGATTACCATTCCCAACAGGTGTGCTCCAGGTCACATGGCAGAAGCTTTTCAATGAAGAGGTCATTGAGAATTTGGCAACCTACAGCAAGAGGTTTGGACAGCAAGTAAATGATCCTCACAGGGGGAAAGTGATCTTCACGGAGGCGTCGCTCAGCTCGACATCCATCACTCTGAGGAACGTAACATGGGGGGACGAAAGCTGTTATATTTGTTCTTTCAACGCGTACCCTGATGGGTCCAAAAGAAAGCAGACCTGCCTCACCGTGAAAGGTAAATTGCAGCAAATACAGATGTGAATTCTGAAGGAAAATGTGTTGGAATTATCGTCTTATTCTGGGAATACAAGAGAAGAAAGAAAGAAAAAGATTAGAATTATACCAGCATTGTTTTTGCTGGTTGAAGCCGGAAATCAAGACTTTTTCTAATAGAGTTCTGTTCATTTTGTAATTTTTTATATGGCCTTATTTGTGTCAAAATGGCTTCAGCCCTCATAATGACAAATTCTAATTCTCTATGAAGGGATATCCAAGGTGAGCACGGAAGTGCAACCTCCTAAAAGTGATCGTGAGGACGAGGACGTGGAGGTTGTGTTCAGCTGCTCTGCTACAGGTAAACCAGCTCCAACCATTCACTGGGACCTCTCGCCGGGTGCCACCAGCTCAGACCAACCGCTGACCTCGACAGAAACAAACGGTGACCACACATTTACCAGCAGCAGGAACGTCACCCTGCAAGTACCCGCAGGCTGGACGGGACACGTGGACTGTCTGCTGAACAGGGGAGCGGCGGGACAAAGGCGCGAGAGGATTCCTTTTTCTTTACCTGCCAGGAAGAAGGAAGAGGAGGGTATGTCAATCATTTTGCATAGACCAGTAGGATGCTCTTTTATCCCCATCAGTCTCATTCCCATCTGGTGGTGAAACGTATCCTCATACAACGGTTGCGTAAGATATCCAATGGAAAATGACTCATAATTCTTCACCTGAAGGAGGCTTTGTGCGTCGTCGCCGATGGCAAAGCGTCGGTATTTGACCCCCTGGGAATGAGAATGGGCCGGCTCTTTGGAAACCTATCTAGGGAACTCCCATTGTCTATCTTGTTCTAGTGTACTGGAAGATCAGCTGACTAGAAACTCCCCAGAAATTTGCTAAATATTCTGAATAACTTGAAGGGATGTCATTTGATTTTGGTGTGCCACTTAGCCTCTAATTATACCCTTTAGTCATTTCCTGACACTGTTAAGAGGACATCTTTATTATGAGAGGCCTGCTTGTGTCCCAGTACTCAAAGTTCCTGACTTGAGGAAGTCAGGGATTTGCAGTAAATGTTAATGACCTAAGCATGCGTGACTAAGCAAACAGTAAACAGAGTCAGCTGTGCTGCAATTGTTTCAGTTTCACTTCCGTGTAGCTTTCATGATCAAGGAACAGTAGAGTGAGTCAACACTCTCTGGAGGAGGTCATGTGACAGATCTGGGAAGTTCATACTCCTCATCTAAAAGCAATGACTTCACCTTCCTCTTCTAGGGAAATGTCATTGACCTTTTCCCCATGCTGACTAGCCCTGTGTTGTTTGTCTCCAGGGAGAGGACTGTCTTCGGTAGGGATTGCACTTGTAATCACTGCAACTGCTGTGTTGCTCATTTCATTGCTTGCTGCTGCAATGACACGAAAAAGGTGAGATATTTGACAACGACATTTGGGAATGTACATGTAGTATAATTCTCCTTATAATGAACTTTCTTTCTTTTTTTCTTCCTGGCAGGTTAAAGGGTACCAGAAGAAATGAAAATGTTGTATGAGCCTTTCACTCGAGCAATATAAAAATCTGCATTTTATTGCATCTAAACTGTAGAGGTGGAACGGTGAGTTAAGCTATTATTAGGCTATCTACCTTGTCTTTTTCAGTTCAATGCTCAGCACTTTAACTATTTATGGAGCTACAAGCAACTTGTTCAGGCTTTGCAGAAAGCAAAGGTTTAGTATTAGAACAGAGCAACTCTGAGGTACAGTGAGCAGAACAATATGTGGTTTACAAAGAGCATAATTCACTTTTAGGCAGTTAACGTCGCTCTTGTTCACATTTACTGTGATTGCAACATAGTCCAGTCGTAAAAGTTTGCTTCGAACTATCTAGCAGGCTGGTTATCAGCACAACAAGCTGATGAGTTTAGATGAAAACGAGCAAATGTGCCGTGGAGCTATAGTGCCATCTAGTGAACTTTGTGGGGAAGAAGACGAGCCCAAGTTCTCACCAAAGAATTTGATAGATTTCTACATGTTGTTGTTTTGCACAGCAAATTGGAACTGTTTATCTGAGTAAGTTATCTTTAAAGTCGACATGTGAATGTGATTATTGTATTGCAAAATTATCATATTTAAATCCAGCTATATGTATACTGATTATTCATAATATAGTACACAATAGACATGATATATAAAGAATTGTGTTACACTTTAATGATCACCTGTACAAACATTTATTGCTCAACTGACTGTAAGGTTGTAACTGTGTGACATATACTGTATTTAAGTCTTGTTTTGACTCATCACTGTCAAAATGTACAAAGTTTCAAATGATCTTATCTGTTTATGTTTTAGTAATTTATTCTCTGGCACATTGCATATGAATATGTATTTTTGTTTGGTTAGTAAAGCATTCATGTTTTAAGTGATTTCACTTATGTTCACTACATGTTTTCTGTTGCTCTGGGTTATATCTATAAGACATTTATTAAGCAAATAAGCAGCAGAACAACAGAGTCAGACCAGACTCATTGTCATTCATTCTATTCATATATATGACTGCGAGGGGTTGTTTCTTAATGATCTGGTAATAAACATCATGGGACACTGAATCACAGTTCAGAAACCAAGATGCCCGACTTCCCACCAAAGCACGTGTGAAAACATGCAAGTGCTCTTATCTTCCTCATCACTGCACCAACCCGTCACAAAGGACCTGAGAAGGAATGGAGAAATAAAATAATGGAGCCAAAAAACCTTCAGTTTAAATGTCTTTTGTTTTAATTCTATAATAATGCCCTTATTTATTTTCGAAGAATTAGTTAACTATATTAATACAGCACAAACTGCTGTGACAGAGGACGCCAACACAGGATACTCACCAATGGTATTTATTGCTCAATGCACATCCACCCTGACATAACAAATGTATGGTTTTAATTCTGGTGAAGTTAGTAGTTTTTCATCCAGGTGCTAATTAATCCCTGTCAAACACTGGAAGTAAATGAATCAAATGTAAACTCTTTTAAAATGTGTGTGTCCCTTTAAGGATATAAATCATGAGTCACAGGGACAAAGTTCACAAATGACTCTTCTGGAGTTATCTGTCTGTACCTGGGCAACAGGAACACTTCTGGCGATAGATTCTAATCATTATGGAAAGATGTCCCCCCGTGCAGTCCTACATTTCCTTTGTGTGTTGGGAGTCTTTCACAAAGGTAAGGAAGCGATGATACACATGTGTTTCCCGACCTTTAGATCGAAATATGTGATTCATTTATTTGATTTAAAGCACAGCTGTGTGACTCTCGTATGTTTATTGTATAAAGTTACGTTTTTGGAGCTTAATATGATTGCATCGATTACCTAATATTCTATCTCACATTTTGCAAATAAACGTCTTTTATTAATCAAACTCCGTCAGAACTGGAATTGCAGTTTCTTTGCTCATTACATCCACAATGAGAGCTGTTATATCCTGCTGATCTTTTTTCTTTTCTCCAGAACGGGTCAGCAGTGATATTAATGCTGCCTTATGCAATTTATTTATTATGAATATTGTTATATTTCTGGGGAGTTCTGTTTGTTTTGTGTTTATTTGACTGATATTACTTCCAGACCACAAGGAGAGGATTTATTAGGGTCAGATTCAATTGTGTCAATATGAATATCAATAGTTTGTTTGAATAATGTTTTTTTTCCCAGAAAGATGTGATCCATGATCTCTTCACAAACACGTTTAATGGTGTGCAGTGCCAGCTGGCGTGAACATAGCTACCCACTCTCTTTTGTGTGCCATGCAGACGGAGTCCTGATTTCAAACATGTTTTGCTCTGTGAAGTGAATTCTGTGGAGTATCTCATCATGCACATGTTGTGTTTCCTGCAGGTCAAACCGCTCTGATTGAATCCCAGCACACCGTGTTGGCGGCTTTAGGAGACAACGCCTGCTTGAACTGTCAGCTGATGCAGTCTAAAGATGTCGTGCAGGTCACGTGGCAGAAGATCTCACCTGAGGGGAAGACGGATCTCGCTACCGACAACAAACACTTTGGTCAGAAAGTGAACAGTGGGTTTCAAGGAAGAGTGGCGTTTAAAGCTGCGGGACTGCAGAACAGCTCCATCGTGATCAGGAACGTGACAGACCGAGATCAAGGATGCTATCTCTGTTTGTTCAACACCTACCCTGATGGTGCCCTCACTGGGAGAACATGCCTCCAGCTCTATGGTGAGAACCTTGCTGCAGACACTTCCATAATCCTCTTCTCTGTAATATCACCACTAACAGCATTTAAACATCTTTTCTTTGCAGAGCTGCACAAAGCCGTTCTACATGTCAGAGAATCAAACTCTGCTGAAGAGGTACTTGTGTCCTGCTCGGCCACAGGTCGACCTGCTCCCACCGTGACGCTGACTGTCCCCCACTACAACTCCACCAGCATCACCAACACCAACGGCACAGTCACCGTCACCACGACAGCTGTGCTGTCTCGTCTCAGTGACAACAGCTCGCGGGTTGGATGTGCAGTGCGAGTGCTCTCCGGTCCT